GAATTCCAGGTTCCACCTAAAAGAAAATCCATGCCACTCGATTTTATAATATGTACAGGTTTCTTTTAGTTTAGATTGTATTATTTGTCAGTTAAATTATGAAACATTTTTTTCAAGTCTTTAGGTAATGTTGATGTCACAGGAAGAAGAACCAGACTTAAGCTGATTATACTAGGATAGTAAGGTACCACCTTCAGTGGGTTTCCATGGATTCAAGTGAGAAAATGACTGTAAAGCACTGAGCACAGAGCCAGGCAAAAGGTGCACATTGAACATGTGTGTTTTACTATTTTCTATTCACTATCATCACTTCTGTTTTATTATTATGTTTGTATTTGTCAACATCATTATCATGACAGTGATGATGTCAATATCATTATATTTCTCAATATGCCATTAGGGATACAGTTTCCCAGTTTTAGAGGCAAGAGTATAGAGGATGAAGGACACACTGTTTAAAAGAATTAAAAATTTGCCATAGCATGCTACACCAGGCTCCTTCCTAGGCTGGGCTGCAGCCTACCTCTGGCTCCCCACACGCCCCGAGCCTCTGTATTCTGCAGCCTTCAGCACACTGGCTATTTTTCCTTCCCCAACATGCCTTGGTTTCCAAGTCTGTGTACTGGTCATGTTCTACCTGAAAGCCACCCTCTTTCTCCCACTCTCTTCTCCAGGCAGCAAATTGCTACTTATTTTTCACATTCCAGTTTCAAAATCTTCTCTGTGAAGACCCCACCCCCAGCACACCCTCAGCCCTAACCCCTGCTGAGTGAGCCACCCCTTTGTGTGGGCATTTGCTTTCTATCACAGCCCTCAGTACAGGACACATCTGTTTCCCTCAACTTTGACAGCGCCATGATGGAAAGGACACTGATTTATGTCTCTGCAGCCCAGATGCCTAACAGAATTGTCACAGAAGAGCAAATATCTGAATGGGAGAATATATAAATGGGTGGATGAATGCATGGATGCATGGATGCATGGATGAATAAAAGGAGATAGTTAGGAGCCTCATAGATACGGTGCAACTAGCATTTATTGAACATTTAGTATGTTCTAAGTACTATACTCATCACATATTTTTATTTAAAAGCCCCCCAATCCCACAAGGTAAGGACTATAATGATGCCCATTCTACAAAAGAGGAAATCCAACCTTGGATAGTTTCAGTGACTTGCACAACTGTACTCAGCTAGTAGATTGTCGAACTGTGAATTCAGCCCAGACTGAGCCTGCATTTCAGTCCCCAG